TTACATACTTCTTTTTGTTTTGTTTGTTTTATTAGTTCTTTTTGTTAGATTTGGTTGAATTTTCTTTCTTTTTGTGCACCTCTTTTTTTAATTAATTACTAAATGACCAATATATGGGTATATATATTATCACACCATATCAAAATCCCGTTAGTTTTCCACGAGGCGCGAACCAAATTGTCATTTTGTGCGTGAAAATTAACTTAGTGTTTTGCAGTTTGATGATATGTTGATTAAGAAGGTGTTGCTCACCTAAGAATTAGCTCAGATGACCAGTTTTTAGACCTCTTCTAAATATTTAGTTACTGTTCAAAATATAATTAAGAAAAAATTATTTCTTAAGGCAAAATAATATTTGGATAATCTAACGTTAAATAAAACATAGAACAACTTTATTTCAAAAAATTCCTAGAGCTACAAATGCAGTTCAGATTCTAGGAAAATTTTCAGGAGTTTTGAACTGTGGTAGTTCAACTCCAACATTTCTTCCTTAATTTGAACTAACACATTTCAAAACTCAAGAAAAACTGCAGAAATATTTCATGGAGTTTATTATGATTTTCTCTTTTCTCAAAGTTTCTCCGTAGGGTTTTCACGAATTCTTTGCTTTATTCATGGAGATCATCAATCTAGTCAGAGTTCTTCTTTCATTTCTTATAGACAACAGATTTTAACTCTAAATTCAAAGTACATTTAAGAATACCTAAGCTTTCACTTATCACGACAGCACGACCCTTACTCTAATTTAACTAATTTGATGATCTAGACCATTAAAAAGTTTTTTTTCCTTTTTTTTTAAATGCACTTGCCTCTTTTAGCGCATCTTTCCCGAAAAGATTTTTCCCCATAAAAAATTAGAAGCAATTCCTAGAACGTGTAGACCTTCCCTCCATCACTCCACTTCTCGACAGTTGCAATATATGTAGAGTTAGTTAAATGGAGAGAGGCTTGAACGTCATCAATTTAACATCAGCTACAGCTAGCTTTAGAAAATTAATTGATAAAATTATTTGATTTTTAAAGGAATCAGCTTCTTAAAATTAAATACTACGCTTGCACAGGTTGACTGAGTTAGTTGGGTGAGTGGTTTCCCACATGAGAGACATGGGATCGATTCCCCTCACCAACAGCCTCCTCAGCCAGAGCTCGTCGTGCCGGACTTGCCTAGTGTGGTTTTGCAGCTCATGTGTGGTCTGCGAGCTATTACACAGTGAGTAAATTACCCGATGTAACATCAGAAGAATAGCGACTGCGCGTTTCCCAGCGAAATTTTCAAAAAATAAATAAATACTACTCCAATTAGTATCTATTATTATTCCCTACTTGGAGGTGCAAAGCACTTCTTTGATCTGATCATGATGAAATATTGATCATCAGTATACAATATCAAATGCCTTATCAGTGTAGGAGCAATTCTTTTCTCCCACTTTCAATCTATTCATGTAAAATATTGATTATATTGATCCATCTTATCCAGCTACATAAATGGGGAAATAAAGAAAGAAAAATAAATAATTGTTCGCTCTAATTTAATTAAAAAGAGAATCTACAAAACTCAATTATGGTTTGTCAACTATGTTGGTATTATTCCAACAGTAGGTACGTATTCTAACTTCTAGGACTTTAGGTATTCTAACTTCTAGGATTTTAATTTGAACATTGTACAAGGGGAAAAATTAAGAGAGAAAAAAAGGTTAAAATTTTGGAGTGGCCCTAATTACCACCGAGTATGTGATTTTGGGGCAAAAAGGAATAATAGTGGTTGAATAAAGGGGAAATAAGGGTTTATGCATCCATCTTTTTCCTTGATATAAGATAGTATACATTTATTTATTTATTTTATATATAAGATAGTACACATCAAATGCAATTAAACATGATATTTAATTTCTCCAGTTGTAAGTCTTTGCAAGACTTTAGGGATCAAGGGCTTCCACAACAGCATAATGTGGACAATAATTTGTTAACAATGAACTTTGGATTTAATTTTTGACACTGGGAGTTTTAGAGAATATTATAGCATAAAGTCAATAGTTCCCAAAACCGTATAGTCTATACCCCTGCTTGTAGAAATAAATTAGAAATAATAAAAAAGTCAATAATATAAGCAATTTGCAACCAAGAGCTTAAGTGCCAAACCCTAATCTTCGCTGACAGCTATACTACAAGTTGCTTATATATTATAAATCAATTCATCAAAAAATAAAGATAGTAACACCTACGAGCTAAAAAAAATTACATATTTCAAATATTTTCACCCATTGTTGTCAAGAGGAAACGTAGCAGCTAGCCAAAGTCGTCGCACAGATGTTAAAAATGATTTTCTTCTATTCCTTCCTATTTATGGTTACCGTAAGATAAGAAAAATGATTCCTTTTTTGATTTACCAATAGCAACAATAAATCTAACCAACAGCAAATTATATCAAGGGCAAAATAATTATAGATAAATTTATATGATTAATATTAATTTGTAATATAATAAATGAGATACGATAAGTTTATAAGATGGGTAAATTCTCCCGTAATAGATCGATCACTATCTTGGGCCCTTGGTGGCCAGTGCTCTTGAAGTTTTGCTTTTCATGGTGTAGTTATTATTAAAGATAAATTATCCAAATGGTATAGATAGAAAGTAGCATATATAATTTAATCTAAGTGAATTTAAGATAATAAAATTAATATGTTACGCAAATATCACGAAAGCTTAATTACATGGCAGCACACATAAACTCAACATATTAATATATTTCTTGGAGAAAAAGCTGGTAAATTTAAAAAATGAACTAAGAGAAACCCTATTCTACACATAAAACATGGATTATTATATTATTTAGTACTTTGGTACATTATTTTAGCCTCTTGAATGAGAGAATCCCGTCCAATTCTTGCTTCCAAAAGGCAAAACTTGGATCTTTAATTATTTTCCAAACTAATTTCAACCCTTAGGTACTTCTCCTATTTAAATACCTTCTCACTGTTCCTCCAACATTACCAACATCCTTTCTTTCTTTATTTCTTTCTCTGATCTGAATCCAAACTTTTGTTGCTTAAAAGGGAGAAGATGAAGCAAATCACAAGTGAAACCATTAGCCCAAGTTTTTCTAAACACAGCATGCATAAAGATTCACATACAATAACCAAAATGAAGCCAAAAATACGAATAATTCATATAATAGCACCAGAGATCATCAAAACAGACGTAGAGAATTTTCGCGAGCTTGTACAAAGGCTCACGGGGAAGAATGCTGCACAAGTCAAAGGAAAAAAGACTAAAAGGGACATGAGAAACCAAAGGAAGAACATCGAATTGTCACCACAAAATCATCATCATCATCATCAACATATGAACATGTTGCAAGATACTAATTATAGGATGAAAGAGGAAGAAAGTGATGGTATATCATATGGAAGTGTTGAAAATTCATCAAATGGCTTTTTGAGTGGTTTTGGAATGGAGGGATTTATTCAAGATTTAAGTGAATTTCCTATGTTTCCTTTCAAGCTTCCTACACAGATTAATATGTTTGGTGAGGTACCCCTTTGCTAAAAGAAGAATTCTTAGATTTGTTCTTGAGAAAGGAATTCAAGGTTTTCTAATATCTTAACTGAATAGTGTGCAGGAACTGGGTGACGCCATATGACTTGATCTTGATCCTATATATTTTTCATCTTTTTTGGGTTGGATTTGGAGTGGGGATGAAGTGATGTTGATTGATATCTTGTTTTCTCCATTTTGTATAGAGATTCATTCATGTGAATATAATGTTCCTTCATATGTTTGTAATTGTTAACATCTTTTTGTGATTATTTGGTTTTCTTTTTTATAACCCTCTCTTAACTCCTATCTTTTTCTCGAAATATTGAAAGCTCTTGTTGTTGCCCTAGCTACAGTGTATTAGTGCATATAGAATAGGTAGAATTCATTTAGTCTTACACTTTGTATTCTAAAGAGTCCTTGTTTACATAACCTTATACTCTAGGTAGTATCCTTATTGACTTAATATATTATACTTTGTATATATAATAGACAAAGCTCTCACGTATAGAGCATCTTGGGCAGAATACTATTTTTCACATGGTATCAAATAGCCATTATTAGCCAAACCTATTTCACAAAAAGTTCTTCTCAATCGAATATGGTGACATCTACCAAGGAAACACCTTCAGCGCATGTTTCTTCTCCAACAGATCCTATTATTCCTTCTAATTTATCTGCAACTTCAGCCACTGGAGCTTCCATAATTCCTCCTCTCTCAAACACTTCCACCATTCTCCTTTCCTCCTATCTCTTATTCAATTTCCTCGGTGCAAACCTCTCTCCCTGGTCAATCTTCCTCTCTTAACACTTTACCTGGTTCGTTAGTTAGTAGTGTTGGTTTACCCTTTCAATTGCCATTTACTAGATCTTTGGACCCGACATCTCACTCACAGTACAATTCCATCTCCGCTCTTGCTGCACCAAACGTCACAAATATGGTAACTATAAAGCTTGCCTCTGTTGAAGACCACCTCACATGGTGTCGCCTCTAAATCGTAGGATTCCACCACCACAGCTTGAATCTTCTGTGTCTACCACTGCTCCATCCTTACATAACACGTCTCATGTATCTCAACCTTTATCCTCTAGAACTATAGATTCCACAAGTTTTCAGATCTCTCCTGCAGAGCCTATTTCACCTATACCTAGCCTTAGCGAGTCATTACCTGTAGGTTCTTCACCATCTTTGTCTACCTCATTACCTATTACTAATTCCTCAACTTGTCATTTACCCCTTCCCCGCATCCAATGCAAACTCGATCTAAGTCTGGTATTTCTAAGCCAAAGAAACAATTTTCCTTGAGTGCTAATATCCATAAACAGGAACCTTCTTGCTTTTCTCAAGCTGTGAAAAAATCAAAGTGGCAACAAGCAATGGAAGATGAATTTAATGCCCTTTTAGAGAATAACACTTGGATCCTTGTTCTTTTTACCGCTAACATGAACTTAGTCGGTTGCAAATGGGTATATCACAAAAATATAATTCAAATAGGTCCATTGAGCGATACAAGGCTCACCTTGTAGCACAAGGTTTTCATCAAAAGCCTGGCATCAATTATCATGAGACATTTAGCTATGTTGTTCGTGCGACAACTGTGAGAATTGTTCTTTCCCTTGCTGTCTCTTTTTCTTGGCAAATTCATCAGCTAGATGTTAAAAATGCTTTCTTGCACGGGGTTCTTATTGAGGAGGTCTACATGAAGCAACCTCGAGGTTTTATTCATCCTGACTATCCTAATCATGTTTGCAAGCTAACCAAAGCCATCTATGGCTTGAAACAAGCTCCTCGGGCTTGGTTTCATCGCTTCAGTGCATTTCTTAATTCTCATGGTTTTGCTTGCAGCAAATCTGATAGTTCGATGTTTATTTATCGCTCTCCTTTTCATGTCCTTATTCTATTACTCTATGTCGATGACATCATTTTCACAGGTAGTCATAATGGTCTTCTTGATCAATTTATTTCTCATCTATCCCATCAGTTTGCTATGAAGGACTTAGGCAATCTCCATTATTTTCTTGGTATTCAAGCAGTTCGTACATCTCACGGTCTTCACTTGTCTCAGCAAAAGTATATTTCTATTTGTTACTTAAATTTCATATGCACACATGCAAACCAGTTCGTATTTCATATGCACACATGCAAACCAGTTCGTACTCCTATTGCTTCTCGCTCTTCTATTTCTCTAATGGACGGTGAGTTACTTTCAGATCCTAGTGAATATAGGAGCATGGTTGGTGCTCTTCAATATTTGACTATGACTCGTCCGAATATTGCCTATGTTGTAAATGTTGTCTCTCAATTTATGCATGTTCCCCGTACCACTCACATGCATTGTGTCAAGCGTATTTTCCGGTACTTGCAGGGTACTCTGACTTATGGTCTGACTTTGTGTGCCCTATCTCCGACTTCCATGGTTATTGCCTACTTGGATGCTGATTGGGTTGGTGGTCCAGATAGTCGCCATTCTACTTCGGGTTTTGTTGTGTTTCTAGGATCTAATCTTATCTCTTGGCATGCAAAGAAGCAACCAACAGTTTCAAAATCGTCTACAGAGGCTGAGTACCGGGCTATTGCATACACTGTTGCTGAGACTTGTTGGATTCGTCACATTCTTTGTGAGCTTGGTATCTTTCTACATGAACTAATTCGTGTATTATGTGACAACATCAGTTCAACTTACATGACCCGTAATCCAGTTTTTCATGATCATTCGAAACATATTGCTGTTGATTTTCATTTTGTGCGTGATATGGTTGCACAAGGAGATCTTATAATTCAGTATGTTCCAACACATTTGTAGTTAGCAGATATCTTTACAAAGGGTCTGCCTTTATCTCACTTTTGTTTTCTTCGGGACAATCTGTCTGTTACTTCCGTCAGTTCAGATTAAGGGGTGTATTAGTGCATATAGAATAGGTAGCATTCATTTAGTCTTACACTTTGTATTCTAAAGAGTCCTTGCTTACATAATCTTGTACACTAGGTAGAGTCCTTGTTGACTTGATACATTGTACTCTGTATATATAATAGACAAAGCTCTCACGTATAGAGCATCTTGGGCAAAATACTATTCAGTATTCACATAGTGTTGGTATTCACTTCTTCCATGAGCAAAGGGTTTTAATTGCTTGTTGTCTATTTCAAGCAAGAAAAAATTGATAATGACTTCGAACTACATACTGAGCATGGCATTTTCACCCGATTATGTATAGTGATGTTGTGAGTTCCAACCAAGAGGTTGTGAGTTCGAGTCTACCCAAGAGCAAGGTGGGAAGTTCTTGGAGGGAATAGATGCCGAGGGTCTATTTGGAAACAGTCTCTCTATCCTAGGGTTGGGGTAAGGTCTGCGTACACACTACCCTCCCCAGACCCCACTAAGTGGGATTATACTGGGTTGTTGTTGTTGTTGTTGTTGTTGTTGTTATGTATAGTGATGTTGGTGAAAATACACTAACCTATATATCTGCGTATTTATTAGCGTAAAGGTTTTGTGGACCTTTCGAAAGAAGCAACTTGTTATTTCTAAATCTTGTTGTTCCTATAAAGAACCTTTAACTATAGGAATTTCCCTCATATTCCATGAGTTGGTAATGTACATGGAAATATGTTTTGTCCAAATTATATACATTTCACTTATGTGAACCTTAGTTTGGAGATTCCTTTTAATGATTATCACTATCCAAATTGTACATTTAGTTTTTGTGAACTTTGACATTTCTGCGAAAATAAGCACTTATGCATTACATAATATAATTCTTATTGAAGACTAGCGCCACTATGGTAATTCTAAGCATGCGAGGAAAGTGTTAGGTGTTTCTCCTAATTTTTTTATTATATTTGATATTTCTATTTCTTGAAGGAAAAAACAACATATTTATCATAATTGTATTTTCTTTCTGCTAGAAAGAAGTTATAAATCTCCTATAGTTGGCTAGTCCCTTTTCTTGGAAGAAAATGTTTGGACTTCTATAAATTGAGGATCCTTCCTTCTCATTTAGTAGCATCCATAATGCAGCCATAATGGGCTTGAGAATCTTGGTTAGGGGGAGAATTCGGGATAAGTATTAGCATGTCACTTGTGTTTGCCTCTTTGTGAGGTTGTTCTCTCGATATTTTGTACTCTCTTTTATATAGTGAATTGCTCATCTTCGTCGTGGACGTAGGTCAATTGACCAAACCACGTTAATATTTGTGTTTCTTTTGGTATATTTTTTCTTTTGTTGTATGATTTATCGTCGTTCAAAGTTTGCTCTATTAGCTTCCACATGACACCTGATTATTTTGATCCTAACAAGTGGTATCAGAGTGATGTTCAAGGCAGGTTCATCTTGGCTGGTTTAATTCTAGCCGCAACCTATTTAACGGTAATCAAGATTTTTGTTTGAGAAATTTGACGAGAGTATTGCTCACATTGAGACAAACTTTATGGTGGAGTTTTGGAGATGTGACTTATTGAAGATTATGTGAAGAAGATGGATCGAGCTTATTTTGTCAGTAAATTCAGTGTTTATCCTGATTTTCTTATCATATTTGGTTTTCCTGTTCCTTGCAGGAAGAGAAACATATTTACCATAATTGATTTTTCTTTTTACGAAAAGGAAAATATAATTCTTTCATATTTGGCTAGTTCCTTTTCTTGGAGGAAAAGGTTTGGACTTCTATAAATTAAGGATCATTCCTTTTCATTCAGCAGAATCAACAATGTAGTTATAAGGGGCTTGAGAGTCTTGTTTAGGAGAAATATTTGGACAAGTGTTAGTCTGTCACTTGTGTTTGTCTTTTTGTGAGGTTGTTCTATCGATACTTTGTATTTTTTTTATATATAGTGGATTGCTCATCTCTACCCGTGGATGTAGGTCAAATTGACCGAACCACGCTAAATATTTGTATCGCTTTTGTTATATTCCTCTTTTATTGTCTGATTTATCGCCATTCAAGATTTGCTTTACTAGTTTCTGCATGACACCCAATTATTTCGATCCTAACATAAAGTACTCTATTTATCCATAGTAAGAATGAAAGAAACTTATCACGATTGATATATAGGACAAGTCATAATAGTTTCATTTCTTGCACTTCTATTTCATACAACCTAGAGAAGGATAGGGTTGGTGAGAAGGGTGTCAATATTTTTAGGTAGGGGCGTATATAGATCGGGTTGGTTTGGTTTTTATCAAAACCAAATCAAACCAACTATATTGGTTTGGATTGGTTCGATTTTGTCGGGTTTTCGGGTTTTTTTGTTACATGAATATTATTTCAATCTTACTTTGTTAAAATTATAGATAAAGCTTTGATAGGTGAATATATGTTTAGTAAATATAGGAAAAAATTGACAAACATATGATCTATTAAAATATTCTAATGGGAGAATTTTTTTTAGTAACACATGATAGTTATTTTCTTAGTCGTCTAACAATAATTTTTCGTTAATTTATGCTTTCAAGATTAACACATGAGAGGATCCCAAATATTTCTACATTTTCTAAAGAAAATTCACTATAAAGTCTTTAAAATATAAATAAAATTTATATATTTATATGTCGGTTTCAGTGGCGAGGCCAGAAATGTTTCCAAGGGTGTTCAAACTTGAAAGAAGTAGAAAAAAAAATTCTGACAAAGGGTGTTCAATATAGGTTTTATATATCTAAAATCAATATTTTACTTATATACACAGTGTAATTTTTTATAATTTTTCGGCATGGTCGATTTGGTTCGGGTTTTTTTACTGAATACCAAACCAAGTCAAATCAAACCTAGTCGGATTTTTTTAACAGTTTGATTTGGTTTTTCGGTTTGGTGCGAGGTTGTAGCTGTGTTAGATATGTTTTCTTTTTGACGTGTAAATATACATATTAACTAATTTTATTTGTTTATATGTCAATTCGTAGATACATTTTTACGTCTTGTGGATTCATTTCATTTTTCATATATTACTCTCTTAGTTCCAAAATACTTGTCATATTTCGGTTCTCGAGAGTTAAATTACATAAATTTTGATCATTTTTTTTAATATATACTTTTTCACCATATTAATATAAGAAAAATGTAGTTTTCGAATATCATAATTTAATTTTAAAAAATTAAATTAGTCTTATCTAATTTTGACTTCAAAAATTAGTTGAATTAATTCTCGAGAAGCAAAACATGACAAGTATTAGTAGAGCTATTAGCTGGAATATACTTAAGCTCTTACCTGCAAGTTGCTCTTACTTAACTAATTGACTTCTTTTTTTCTTGGGGGGAGGAGGGAACACTTAACTTTATATTATAAAATGCTCTAAAACTTGAAGCGTTAAAAATTAAATCAAAAAGTCGTTGATTACACATTATCGTCTACATTGTTAATTCTGTTGTGGAACCCCATGATCTCCGTTTAAAGTCTTAACGAAGAATCACATAACTAAGAAATATAAGTGTCCTGTTTGCATCGGTCTAAAATATTTTAGGTAAAAAGAAATGGACGCTTGAAATAATGTTTTGCCCATTAACAATGAGAATACAATTGCAACCAACCTATTGTATGAGAGATTATTTCTATTGATACCACTAGATTATAAGTCTTGGTTCTATTGATCTATCTTTAGTTATTTTTCTCTTATATATACATACATATATGATATATGTACGTACGTATGTATGTATTACTAGGGATCGTCCTTCCTAGCTAGCATGCCTTGTCCCGAGATAGCCATGAACAAAATGTCTCATTACAAAGTGTTGATAAGAGTCGATTATTTTTCTTCTCATCCAATAGTTAGCTCTAACTTATTGGGGTTCGGATAGTAAAGATAAGATTTATTTAAGCGTTTAAGAGTAGTAATCAGTAGCAATAAAGTATAAACCTAGTCAAGTCAATAATCCCAGTTAATCCAAGTCTAGCTAGCTAGTTGATGTAAGTTGGTTCAAAGGGGACTGCATCTGAGAATGACATTGGAATATAATCCTTATGAACGTAATGGCATGATTAAATTAGGAAACAACACCTACTCTTCCACATTAGCCAATTGATAACATCAAACGGTAATTAAGAAAATTCAAAAGTTGCAACTAGTCGTGCCATCTTAAAGTTGACTCTCTTGTCACCTTCTTGGCGGTGCTAGCTTTATTACATAAAAATATTACACAAGTTTGTGTTTCATGATAATTTATTAAAGATAATAATACAAAAGGGATAGAGATGGAAATTAGCTAGCAGATTTAATATAAGTTGACTTGACTCTTGAGATTAACTAATCTATCAATAAACATCATAGTTAATTACAAATAAAAGGCGGCTGCCATCAAGTCAATATACCAATGGTAAGCTTTTGCCATGTATCTTTGATATTATCACTTTCCTTACGGCAGCATATGTTACCTATAATATGGTTTGCGCACATCTGTCCGTTCAAAAAGTCTTATGAAATTGTTGCACTGCATCTGACATGTAAAGCTTGTAGGAAATGATCGACATAATATGTTTGTTACACTTGAAGGATGGTTAATAAGGGGAATAATATAAAACTAGGTGAATATTGAGGTGTATATATTACCTCAACCGTTCACAAAAAGTAAATCAATTAGAAGTTGGTGAGTTAAAGAGTGAAATTTATAAGTTCACCACAAGGAAGTAGAAATTCTGAATTTTGGAGAATTAATAACTAATTTACTTGCGTCGTCCAAGAACAGTAAATTCTAGTGTTTTTACTATTTAAAACTACCTAGTAGTAACATGTCTTGAACTAGAGAAAAATCTGGTACTATTATTGTTCTTTTTATCAAGAAGCAAAGTGTGAAAGGCCGTATGTGCAATAAGAT